CCAATGTTGTTGCTACCATTGTTCTGAACTTTTCCTAGTGAAACTCTTGCCAATTTTCCCCGTGAACTAGCAAGTAGTGTGTGCACAAGGAAAACGACTAAGGACTAACGAACGCAGAGATCACACGAGCACACGTGCCTAGCCCGTAGCCTAGCTCCCGTTGCTGCAGTTATCTCCGCAAAGTCTGGGGGTGCTGAGCCTGGGGGTGCTAGGTCTGGGGGTGCGGAGCCTAGGGGTGCGGAGCCTGGAGGTGCGGAGCCTGGGGGTGCCGAGCATGGGGGCACTGGGTCTGCTCGTGTGGCCGCCTGCGGTGCTTCGTCGAGGCGGGAGCCACTCTCTCCACAGAAGCTTCGCGAGTGGTTTGCCCGCCGCTGGAGACGTGCTGCTGAGACTGGGGTTGCTGCTGGGGCTACTGGAGTTGGTCCTGCTGGAGCTGCTGGCGGTACTAGTGCTGCTGGAGCTGGAGCTGCTGGGGTTGTTGGCGCTGGTGTTTCTACCGGCGCTGGTGCGTCTGGGGGTACTGCTGAGACTGCTGGAGCTGACAGTCCTACTGGAGTTGGTGGTGTTGGAGCTGGAGCTGCTGGGGGTGTTGGCGCTGGCGGTGCTGCTGGCGCTGGTGCTTCTGAGGGTGCAGGAGTTGGCGTTGTTGGAGCTGGAGGTGCTGCTGGTGTTGGTGCTGCCTCTTGGGGTACTGGTGCCGTCCCTGCTGGTTTTGGAGGCGCTGAGCGGCCGAGGCCGTACTTCGTTCCGCTCCTGGAGCAGGTTCTTGGTCTCCCGCCCTCTCCTGGTCCTGCTCCTTCCTTAGAGTGTCCACAGCCTGTCCAGTCGCAGTCACAGTTACAGCCCGCCTCCCCTCTACCTGCTCCTTCTCCCTACACTGGTCCTACTGGAGGTCTTGCTGAGCGTCGTGCGCCTGCGTCTCTTCCTGCGTCGCCTGTTCGTACTGCTCGCACTAGTGGTCGTACTGCGCGTCCGCGTCCTCCTGCAGTCCTCGGCACACACCAGATGGCACTGCGTCCTTCCACTGCTCCTCTGCGTGTCCCGTTGTCGTCTCCTCCAGAGTCCTCTCTTCCTACTCTTGCTGACCCGGAGTCTGACTCTCTTCGTGCTGCTAGTCCTTCGGTCACACGTCTCCTTGCTAATTTTGTCAGTGACCCTTCCTTTGAGTCCATTGCTGCGTCTGCCTGAGTCCATTGACTGACCCTGCGTTACGTGGCTCGTGGCTTCAGTCAGCGGCAGGGAGTTGACTACCTTCAGACCTTCTCTCCCACCCCGAAGATGACCACTCTTCGGGTACTACTGCACATAGCTGCTCACCGTGACTACGAGCTTCACTCTCTCGACTTCAGCACAGCTTTCCTGCAGGGCAGCCTGCACGAGGAGATCTGGCTGCGCCGCCCACCTGGCTTCACTGGGTCTTTTCCTCCTGGCACCCAGTGGAGCCTCCGGCGGCCAGTCTACGGTCTCCGCCAGGCACCGCGTGAGTGGCACGACACACTGAGGACTACACTTGCGGCTCTTGGGATTGCTCCCTCTACTGCCGACCCATTGCTGTTTCTGCGCACCGACACTTCTTTGCCGCCGTTCTACATCCTCGTGTACGTCGACGACTTGGTCTTTGCCACTGCTGACACTGCTGGACTCGCCCACGTGAAGTTCGAGCTGCAGAAGAGACACACGTGCACAGACCTGGGTGAACTGCGCAGCTACCTTGGCTTGCAGATCACCTGGGACAGAGCACAGCGCACCATTACCCTGACTCAGTCACACATGGTGCAGCAGGTCCTTCAGCGCTTCGGCTTCACGTACTCCTTGCCTCAGGCCACTCCTCTGTCTACTCGCCACTCGCTCTCAGCTCAGCCTTCGGATGATTCCGTAGAGCCGAGTGGCCCGTACCCAGAGCTTGTTGGCTGCCTCATGTACCTGATGACCTGCACACGACCTGACCTTGCATACCCTCTGAACATCTTGGCACGCTATGTTGCTCCTGGGAGACACCGACCAGAGCACATGGCTGCAGCAAAGAGGGTGTTGCGCTACGTGTGCAGTACGTCGGGCATGGGGCTAGTGCTTGGAGGGCGACGTCGAGTGGTCCTCACAGGTCACGCTAACGCTTCTTGGGCTGACGACCAGGCTCTGCAGCGGTCGTCACCGGGTTACACCTTCAGCCTTGGCTCCGGCTCTGTTTCGTGGCGGTCTACCCGCTCGTCCTCTGTTCTCAGCTCCAGCTGTGAGGCTGAGATCTACGCAGGGGCCATGGCTGCACAGAAGCTACGCTAGCTCACCTACCTGCTGACTGACCTAGGAGAGCCGCCTCGTTCTCCTCCATTTCTGTACGTAGACAACAAGGCCATGCTGGCCTTGTGTCGGGAGCATTGACTAGAGCACAGAACGAAGCACATTGCTCTCCGCTACTTCCTGGCTCGTGAGCTGCAGCAGCGTGGTCAGCTCTGCCTCACGTACGTGGCCTCTGAGGCCAACACTGCTGATATCTTCACCAAGGCCCTTCCGCCTTGTGATCATCAGCGCTTCTGTACTTTGCTAGGTCTTGTGCCTACCTGGCCTCACTTGCTCACTTCTTGATCTTGTTTGTACTGTACTCTTTCTATACCTGCACTTGCTTGTTTACCTTTATATATATGATCTTGCATGTGAACTGGCCTTGTGGCCTTGCTCTTGTGCTCGGACTGTGTGGTGACTTTGTGATCCACCCTGAGCTTGCTTTGCTTCGCTTGACTGGTCTTGTGACCACTTGTTCTCCCCCACTTTGCCTATGGGGGTGTGTCAGAACATTATAGCTTATACATCTGTGTAGGCTGTAGTGGGGTAGCCCATAAGGGGTACAACCCAATTAGGGTTAGTACTTGTACCCAACTGTTTCATAGTTCAATCATTCTCTCGTTCTAATGTTCACAGGGTATACGCTTCATTAGTCTCTTTTCGGGTCAAATTAATGTTTTCGACCCGTTCGTTCAAATGTGAGAGACCTTGCCCGTTCAGATTTTTCTCTTTTTTCCATATCAAGGGGCTTCCATTTGGCGGGCTGATTTTTTGTTTGTTGATGGGGCAGCCTCGTACAGAAGTGAAAAAATATTCCATATATTTCTTCATGAACACGTGGTAACTTCTTGCAATTACGAACGAGACTTCCTGTATGAGTGGAGGCCTGAGGCTAAGAAACATAGCGTAGGCTTCCCCAGTTCGAGTGGGCCCAGTGTGACAAGAAGGCTACCGAACAGGGCCGTTATGTGGGGCAGCAACATCCGCGCAATGCAATACGCATGAATGCGCGAAGAAATTACACGGAAGGCAACACTGTCAAATTAGTGCGGCAGCAATAACGCTTGCAGAACAACGCCAGCGTGAGTTTCTAGCGTTTCACTACATTTTGTCTTTGGAAATTTGTCAAACTTCAAAGGGAAAGTACATCCCAGCTCCTTAGTTTCAAAAATATTTCAAATTTAGTTCCAAGTTTACCCAAGAAGTCTAAATTTGCGGAATTTCGCCACGCAAGACCACATTATGTTCAAAACTTGTCATGCGGGGCAGGCATTTCAACACGTGTCCATTTCGCACCAACATTTTTTTTACGGGGCAAAAAGGCTTAATACCCCTAAGAAAACAGGATACATTTCGGGAGAGATCAACCCTAAACATCAGGCGGGTTCCTGTATTTAGGGTTGATCCCTTTCAAAAAAGTGTCATGGTTTCCCTAAGGGTATTATGTTTTCTGCCCCACGAAATAATTCCGCTGTGAATCAGGATACGTTTCGAAAGATTAGCCTGAACATAATTTGGGCCTCGTGTGAGCGAAATTCCACAAACTAAGACTTTTTTTAGTAAACGTGGGACTCGATTTGAGAGATTTTTGAAAATAAGGAGCTGGCATGTACTTTCTCAAGTTCTAAGGACACTTCACCTGTTTCTAAACTGGTAGGGTCGTGGTAGGGTCGGGACAGGGTCGATGCAGAACACCGATCCTGGAGAGATTTGCTCCAAACCCTTCTTTGGAGATTCAACGTTGCACACGTGGCCTCTATTAGCTTGCGTGGCCCTACAATTGCACGATAGTTGCTCGAATGTGTCAAACTATTATAATGTTTAGGTTGTGTAGGCTGTAGTGGGGTAGCCCATAAGGGGTACAACCCAAATAGGATTAGTACTTGTACCCACATTGACTTTAATTTCACTCATTCTCGTTCAGTATTCTGACATGGTATCAGAGCATGTCCTGTTCCAGGACCTTTTTTTTTAGGGCCCACCAAATAGTTCCCTGCCCGTAGCGTGTTACTCTGCCCGTCGCGCCGACCTGCCCTCCCTACGCGCCGCCCTGCTAGCGCCGCGCCGCCCTGCCCTGCCCGCGCGCCGCCCTGCTGGGCGCCGCGTCGCCCTGCCTTGCCTACGCACTGCGCTGCCCTGCCCGCACGCTGCCCTGCTGGCCGCCGCCCTGCCCTGCCCTGCCCGTGCGCCGCCCTGCTGGCTGCCGCACCGCCCTGCCTTGCCCGCGGGCTGCCCTGCTGGCCGCCGCCCTGCCCTGTACTGCCCGCGCGCTGCCTTGCTGGCCGCCGCCCTGCCTTGCCAGCTGCGCTGCCCTGTCCTAGCCGTGCGCCGCCCCGCCCTGCCTTGCGTGCTTCCCTAGCGCTTGCGCGCCGCCCTGCCCGTTGCGCCGTCCTTGCTTGCGTGCTGCCTTGCTGCTCGCGCGCCACCCTGCTCTGCCCGCTATGGCTAGTTTCAGCGTTCTCACATTCGATCCTGAGGGCCGTCCGATCCAGTTTGATACGTGGCTCGATGACTTACAGCTGTACCTACTGATCGATTCTAGAGACAGCGTTTTGTTGTTTGACCACACGTCTGGAGCCTCTCTCGCCCCTCCCAACACAGCTGACAGTGCGACTCGCTCACAGTGGCTTAACCGTGATGCTGCTGCTCGCCTTGCCGTTCGCAACCACCTACCGTTAGCCGAACGCGCGCACTTTGGCCAGCACAAGGCTGCTAAAGCCATGTACAACGTTGTAGTCGCTCGTTACTCCTCCCCTGCCATTGCTGCACTCAACCGCCTTATACTACCCTACCCTTTTCCCGAGCTGTCCGCCTTTGCCACAGTCGACGACCTAGTCACCCACCTTCGCACTAGAGACATTCGCTACCGTGCCGCGCTTCCCACCAAGCTTCTAGACAAGAACCCTCCCCCCATGTACATCGCTCTCTACTTCATCGTCACCCCGCCTCCCTGAATCTCTTAGCGCAGTCAGGGACCACTTTCTCGCCATGGACCCCACTGTCGACCTGCTCGAGAAGCACCTCCTTGCAGTTGAGGCTAGCATAGTCGCTATAGGTGCTGCTCGTGGCACTCCTCGCACTCCCTTCTTTGAGGGGTGTTCCCCCTCACCCATTGCCCCCTACTACGCTTCTTCTGCTGCTGTTGACTTCCTTTGTGCTGAGGAGGTCGGAGCTGCATCTGCTCCTAGTGGGAGGCGCCGCAGCGGCAGGGGCAAGGGAGGCAAGGGTGGTGGGGGTGGCAGCGGTGGAGGCGGAGGTGGAGGCGGTGGAGGCGGTGGATTTGGCGGTGGTGGCGAAGAGAGTGGTGGTGAGAGTGGAGGCGTTGGTGGTGGCGGTGGTGGCGGCAGTGGTAGTGGTGGCGGCGGTAGTGGTGGCAGCAGTGGGAGTGGTGGCGGCGGCGGTGGTGGCGGTCGGGGTGGAACCGGTCAGAGGGGAGGTTCTGGCGGTGGTCAGAGGTAGCAGCAGCAGCGTCCACGTAAGACCCCTATGTCCCAAGAGCTTCGTGAGTGGTTTGCTCAGCGTGGGGCGTCTGGGGGTAGTGTTCGCTGCCAGTACGTCATTCACACAGGTGATTGCGCTGGTCAGACATGCGGGAAGGTTGGTCACACACACTCCCGCTGCTTTTCCCATCTTGACGACGCCTGGTGCGCAGAGTTTCTGACGCGAATGAGCTCCCCTGCTGGCTAGAGCTGCTTAGGCAGGGTGTGGATATCTTTGCTCTTGACTATGACGCTATCCTTGCTGCCATGTATGCGTTGACTGTTAGTGCTGAGGGTGATTGTTACCTGTGTATGCCGTTCGACCCTGGTGTAGAGGCTACTGCTCCAGGTGCTAGTGAGTCTGCTCTCTCTGGTACTGCGCCTGCTGAGGCCTTGCACACCCCTTGCATGACTCAGGTGCTTCCCGTTGTTTCTTTCGCGACAGTACCACAATCACACCACTCCCTGCACCTGTTGAAGTCAGACTGGCTGACCCCTCAGGGGGCCCAATTCTTGCACGTTCCTCCACTATTCTCCCATATCCAGCGGTTCGGTCTGGCTTACTGTCAGGCCTTCACCTCCCCTCGTTCTCTACGAACTTGGTGAGTACCGCTGCCCTCCAGGATGCGATGGTCACTACCACCACTCCTGGGGGTCAGCGTGTGTCGATATGCACGTATACACGGACAGGCCGTCACCTGGCGACGTTCACCCGTTGGCCTGGGTCGAGTCTGTACAAACTGACTACTGAGCCTCCTCAGGCTAGCTAGCACCCTGTTCGTATCGCCTTCTATCGCACCAGACTCTCCTTTGGCACCACCGCCTTGGTCACCCTTCCCTGCCACGCCTCCGTGGCATGCACTCCCGCCTCCTTGTATCTGGTCTTCCCAGGTCTCTGCCTCCCCTCCCGCACTTGCCTGCCCCTCCCTGCCTTCCCTGTGTCGAGGGGCGGCAGCGCGCCACTCCTCATTCCTCGTTTCCCCCAACGACAGCTCCCCTGCAAACTCTCCACATGGCCCAGCCTGCGTCCGTGGACAGGGCCGCGAGCGATACTTTCTGCTAGTTATTGACGACTACTCGCGTTACACCAAGGTCTTCCTCTTGCGCAGCAAGGGGGAGGTCCCTGATATTTTGATCCCTTGGATCCGCGTTGTCCGTCTCCAGCTCCGCGAGCGGTTCCACACGGACCTTCCTGTCCTGCGTTTGCACTCAGACAGAGGTGGTGAGTTTGCCTCCGACCTCTTGCAGGATTTCTGTCGTGGGGAGGGCATCCGCTAGTCGTTCACGCTTCCGACCTCTCCACAGTAGAATAGGGGTTGCTGAGCGCAGCATTGGCTCAGTCATTGAGGTCGCTTGTACCTCCATGATCCATGCGGCTGCTCCCCATTTTCTGTGGCCATTTGCGGTCCGGTACGCTGCGCATCAGCTCAACCTGTGGCCCGGTGTCTCCTTGCCGAAGACCTCGCCTACATTGCGTTGGACGGGGGAGGTTGGCGATGCGTCGGTGTTCCGGGTCTGGAGCTCTCGTGCCTTTGTCCGCGATACCTCCTCGGACAAGCTCTCCTCCCGCGCCATTCCCTGTGTCTTCCTTGGCTTTCCCCCTGACGCTTGCTGGCAGTTTTACCACCCCACCACACACCGTGTTCTGCCCTCTCAGTACGTCACGTTTGATGAGTCGGTTCCCTTTTACTGTCTCTTCCCCTACTGCGCTGCCCCTCTCCCCCCCTCGCCGCTCTTCCTCGCACCTGGTCCTCCTCCGGTAGACCCCCTCCCCCCTCAGGGTCCTGCTCCCTCAGGTGTGTCTCAGGTAGACCCACTCCCCTTGGCTGAGCCTATCGAGGTAGCTGTCGACTCTGGTGCTGTTGGGGGGGGTGCTGCTCGGGGTGCTGCGTCTGGGGGTGCTGAGCCTGAACGTGCGGAGCCTGGGGTGCCAAACTCATATGCTATAGTCTATCTAGGCTGTAGTAGGGTAGACACTAAGGGGTATGGTTTCTTAGGGTTTCATACTTGTACCCCTCACATTCCTTAGTCCATCATTCCTCATTCTTCACATGGTATAGAGCGGGTTCCCTAGTGGGACCGTTTCTTCCAAGGGCCCACCTTTGAATTTTTTTTTAGCCTGCCCTGAACGCGTTTCGCATCCTGCCCGGAAAACTTCGCGGCCCCTTATTGGCCTGCCCCTTAACGGCCCCTTAGTGGCCCCTTCGCGGCCCCGTCTTAGCGGCCCCTTCGCGGCCCCTTAGCGGCCCCCTCTCGCGGCCCCTTCGCTGCCCCTTAGAGGCCCCCCCCTTCGCGGCCCCTTTCGCTGCCCCTTAGAGGCCCCCCTTCGCGGCCCCTTTAGTGGCCCCTTAGCTGCCCCTGAGCGGCCCCTCAGCGGCCTCTTCGCAGCCCCATCGCGGCCCCTTTCCGGCCCCGCCCCGTTGCCCGTAGCGGCCGCCGCCCCGTCACCAGCCGCGGCCCCGCCCCGTCGCCACCCGGGCGTCCCCCCTCCCTCGTCGCGACGCCTCATCGGGACCCGCGCGTCGCCCCTGTCTCGTCGCGAAGCCCCTGCTGGACCCACAAGGCGCAACGCCTGCGAGTCGCGACGCCCCAACGGGACCCGGGCGTCGCCCCCACTCGTCGCGACGCCCCTGGGGGACCCGCGCGGCGTCGCTTCTGCCCGCCGCGACGCCCTGCCTTAACCCGCGCCCCTGCAGCAGCCGCCCCTGACCCCTGGAGCAGCCGCCCCTGCAGCAGCTGCCTCTGGCTTCACTCTCTTGACTTCAGCACTGCTTTCCTACAAGGCAGCTTGCACGAGGAGATCTGGCTGCGCCGCCCTCCTGGCTACATTTGGTCGTTTCCTCCTGGTACCTAGTGGAGCCTCAGGCGGCTAGTCTACGGTCTCCGCCAGGCTCCCCGTGAGTGGCACGACAGACTGAGGACTACGCTTGCAGCTCTTGGGTTTGCTCCTTCTACTGCCGACCCGTCGCTGTTTCTACGCACCGACACCTCGCTGCCGCCGTTCTACATCCTCGTGTACGTCAACGACTTGGTCTTTGCTACTGCTGACACTGCTGGACTCGCCCACGTGAAGTCCGAGCTGCAGAAGAGACACACGTGCACTGACCTGGGTGAACTGCGCTGCTACCTTGGCTTGCAGATCACCTGGGACAGAGCACGGTGCACCATTACCTTGACTCAGTCACACATGGTGCAATAGGTCCTTCAGCGCTTCAACTTCACGTACTCCTCGCCTCAGGCCACTCCTCTGTCTACTCACCACTCGCTCTCAGCTCTGCCTTCGGATGAGTCCGTAGAGCCGAGTGGCCCGTACCCAGAGCTTGTTGGCTGCCTCATGTACCTGATGACCTGCACTCGACCTGACCTTGCATACCCTCTTAGCATCTTGGCACACTATGTTGCTCCTGGGAGACACCGACCAGAGCACATGGGTGCTGCGAAGAGGGTGTTGCGCAACTTGTGCAGTACGTTGGGCATGGGGCTCGTGCTTGGAGGGCGACGCCCAATGGTCCTCACTGGTCACGCAGATGCTTCTTGGGCTGACGACTTGGCTACGCAGCGGTCGTCATAGGGTTACACCTTCAGCCTTGGTTTCGGCTCTATTTCGTGGCGGTCTACCCGCTCGTCTTCTGTTCTTGGCTCCAGCTGTGAGGCCGAGATCTACGCAGGGGCCATGGCTGCACAGGAGTTACGCTGGCTCACCTACCTGCTGACCGACCTGGGAGAGCCGCCTTGTTCTCCTCCAGTTCTGTACGTAGACAACAAGGCCATGCTGGCCTTGTGTCGGGAGCACAGACTGGAGCACAGAACGAAGCACATTGCTCTTCGCTACTTCCTTGCTCGTGAGCTGCAGCAGCGTGGTCAGCTGCGCCTTGCTTACGTGGCCTCTCAGGCCAACACTGCTGACATCTTTACCAAGGCACTTCAGCCTTATGATCATCAGCGCTTTTGTACGATGCTAGGTCTTGTGCCTACTTGGCCTCACTTGCTTACTTCTTGACCTTGCTTGTACTGTGATCTATATATACCTGCACTTGCTTGTTTACCTTTATATATATGATCTTGCATGTGAAATGGCCTTGTGGCCTTGAACCTGTGCTCGGAATGTGTGGTGACGTTGTGATCCACCCTGAGCTTGCTTTGCTTTGCTTGACTGGTCTTTTAACCCCTTGTTCTCCCCCACTTTGACTATGGGGGTGTGTCAAACTCATATGCTATAGTCTATCTAGGCTGTAGTGGGGTAGACACTAAGGGGTATGGTTTCCTAGGGTTTCATACTTGAACCAGTCACATTCCTTAGTCCATCATTCCTCATTCTTCACATGGGGGTGCTGAGCCTGGGGTTGCTGAGTCTGAGGGTGCGGAGCCTGGGGGTGCTGAGCCTGGGGTTGTTGAGTCTGAGGGTGCGGAGCCTAGTGGTGCTGAGCCTGAGTGTACGGAGCCTGGGGGTTCTGGGTTCGGGGGTGCTGAGCATAGAGGTACTGTTTCTGTTGGAGGTCCTACGGGTGCCTCGTCACGACGGGAGCCTCTTTCTCCACTGAAGCTGCGCGAGTGGTTTGCTCGGCGCACCCGCCTTCGGAGTGGCGCTGTTGGAGCTAGGGGGCCTGGCGCTAGAGACACTGCCGCTGGAGGCACTAGAGCTGCTGGTCCTGGAAGTGCTGGAGGCCATGCTGGAGCTGGAGGTACCGGAGGTGCTGGAGCTGCAGGTCCTGGAGGTGCTCGTGCTGGAGGTACTGGAGCTGCCGGAGCTGGTGGTGCTGCTGATGCTGGAGGTGCTTGCGGTCCTGCTAGAGCTAGAGGCCCCGGAGGTGTTGGAGCTGCTGGTCCTGGAGGTGCTCGTTGTGGAGGTACTGGAGCTGCCGGATCTGGTGGTGCTGCTGGTACTCGAGGTGCTGGAGCTGCTGGTCCCGGGTGCTCGTACTGGAGGTACTGGAGCTAATGGAGCTGGTGGTCCTGCAGGCGCTGGAGCTCGGGACCCTG